TATGGGACTTTCCAACTCAGTATAGCTGAAGGTAACGTGTACGGTAGGATTCATCATTTACACCAAGTCTGTACACTTTTTCCATGACACCCGATAAGCTCTTTCTCTCAACAATATTAGCTCATACATGTCTTTTCTTTTGTACATATCTTTTTTATTCGTCTACCATTTAGCTTTAAATGACACGTATGTCTGCATCCCCAAGCAACACAAGAGTACAAAATTCATATTTCAGAATACATGAATGAAATAATTATACATTATGCTAACTAAAACATATTATGTACAAAATAGAACAATATAAAACATAGATTAAGGCAAATATATTGAAATAGTTTAAAATAGAATAAAGTAAATAAATAAGTACAATAAAGCGACTGAAGAAATAGCTAACACAATTAAACTAATAACAAGCATAGACTGACTGGTTATTGACTCCATCGACAACCTGTACTTAATTAATCAAGGAATCACCAATTATCTAAAATTTTTATTTATTATTAATTTAACTTTAATTTAATCGTAATAGAAAAAATGGGTGAGAGATTCTTATACTGGGTCGGTGTCCAGAACACTGCCTTTTTTACTATGATTCTCAACGGTTGCCGATTCTTAAATTTCTTGAATTTTCCTAATAAGATTGAAAACATACATCAAAAGAGCATAGAAATACGCAAGGAACAGTAAAAAAAAGGTAAAAATCTCACCGGATGTCGGGTTCGGATTTCGATACAGCAGCCCGCCGAGCTCTGCTGGCTAATCCTCATTCTCCGATGGTTCTTCCTTTCGGTCAGACCAATTTTGGCTGAGTTTTGGTAAAAATCTATTTAAATCATGGTTAGGAGTATTTCTCGGCAAAAGAAGGGGAAAAACAGAGCCTTACCGGTGGTTTCAGTCCTCTGGTATGGTGGCTCAGCCGAGTTTCGCCATTCCTTCCTCGTAGTTTGTGGCTTCTCTCAGTCATCCTACATCAGAAACGTGTTAAGTGGCTAAGGGTAGAGAAACAGGAAGAAAATTCAGCTTACCGGAGTGTTTTTAGTGTTCCAGCATGGTGGCGCTAGCGATTCTCTGGTGGCTGAGTCCCCTTTCAGTCACCTTTCTTCTTTTTCTCTGGTGGTGTGTGTCAGCTAAGGTTTAGGGAGTCGGGTAAGAGAGGTTTAAATACCTCTCTTCTCTCAATCCTGACCGTTTGTTTGGGTCGCGTAGTGCACCAAGAGCCGTTCGATCTCACTTATTTATAAAATAAATATGGACCATTCGATTGAAGACATGCAGGCCGTTCAATATTTGGGGAATTGATCTAGGTCGTTCGTGCCCGCAGGAGTGGCCCCGAGCTGTTCGTGCCCGCAGGAGTGGCCTTGAGCCGTTCGATCGGCCTGGTACGCGGATTGTTTGTGTGGCTTCACGCGTGGAGCCTGTGTCAGTGTGTCTGCCATGTGGTGCGCGACGATTCGCCGTGTCGCTGATTGGGCGTACACGTGGCCCATATTTGTCTTGTTTGCAATTCGACCCCTGTTTTCAACTTTTTCTTTCAAACATACCTTAATTTATATACAGTTTGGCCCTAGCTTTTGGAATTCATTTTCAAAGACAACTAAAATGTATATATTAAAAAAAATCAATAAAATGATTAAAAATAATTAAATTTTAAGAACTTAACATTATTATTACTTAGAAGAAAATATAAATCTCTATCTTGAGCCTAATTTTTGGACTATGAATGTTTCAACTCTCCCTCCTAAAGAAAATTTAGTTCCTCAAATTGTTATCCCCTAGTCAAACAATTGAGGATGCTTAGCATTGAAGTCCGACTCTAACTCCCAAGTGGCCTCATCCTACAAGTGATTTTTTCATAGAATTTTGATAAAGATAATTTCTCTATTGCGAAGCACCCTACTCTTTCAGTCCAAAATACTGACAGGTACCTCCTCATAAGATAAATTCTCCTGAAGTGGAATTGGCTTGTAAGACAAAATATGCGAGGGGTAAGGGTTATACTTGAGCAACATTGATACATGGAAGACATTATGGACTCTGGATAGTTCTGGATGCAGTGTTAGTCTGTAGGTAGATATTCCAATTCTATCCAAAATTTTAAATGATCCAATAAACCAAAAATTCAAATTTTTCCTCTTTCCAAACTTGGTGATACCCTTAAGGGGGGTGACCTTAAAAAAAATTCGATCACCTGTCTCAAATTCCAAATCTCTCCTTCGGGTGTCTGTATAACTCTTCATCTACTCTAGGATGTTTAAATATATATATTTTTTATTTTGGTAATCTTCATTGTGGTATCATCTATAAGATCTGGGCCAATCAATTTTCTGTCTCCTACTTCCTCCCAACAGATTGATGACTTACAAGGTCGACAATACAATGCTTCATACAGAGTCATACCAATAATTATTTAATAACTGTTATTGTAGGTGAACTCCATCAGGGATAGGTGATCGTCCCAGTGTCTGCCAAAGTCTAGAATACAAGTTTTGAGCATATCCTCTAGTGTGCAGATAATTTAGTCTGATTGTCCATCTGTCTGAGGGTGGAATGTCCTACTAAAAGATAATTTCATTCTCATCGCTTGTTGAAGGCTCGTCCAAAACCTAGAGATTAACTTGGGGTCTCTGTCTGATACTACTATCATCGAAATGTCATGTAGTTTGGCTATCTTTCATATATAAATCCTAGGTAGCTTATCCAAGGGATCTATTATTCTGATATCCAAGAAGCGGGAAGACTTAGTGAGTCATTTGAAAATTACCCAGATCGTATCGTGTCCCGAACATGCCTTAAACAATCATGTTACAAAATTCATGGTGTTATGTTCTCATTTTCATTCTGGGATTGGTAGCGGCTGAAGTAGCCCACCCGAGAGTTGATGCTCTGTCTTAACCTGTTGGCATGTGAGGAATTTGGAGATGAAATCAGTAATATTCCTTTTCATCTTGCTCCATCAGAATTAGTGTCACATGCTTTGGTACATCTTGGTACTTCCTAGGTGCATGATGAACTTGGAACTGTGAGTTTCTGTTATGATGTCTCTCTTTAATCCACTATCACTATAAACACACAACCTATCTTAAAATTTGAAGAACCCATCTATAGAAACTCAGAACTCTGAACTCAAACCCTGTTCTGTATCCTTTCTAAGAGTTCGTAGAGTGGAATCAATCAGTTGAGCCTCCTTATTATCTAGATTAACTCGGGTTGGACTATTAAATAAGTTAGGCATGTGGCTCTTTTTAAGTTTTGGAGTTGTATTTATTGTGTGGCATTTATCATCCTATACTTAGAGACCATTATATGATCTAACATACTTGCATTATTCCTGTTAAGAGCATTGACTGTTACGTTATCTTTGCCTGAATGGTATAATATCTTACAGTCGTAATCTTTAAAGAGTTCTATCCAACGCATCTGACGCATGTTGAGGTCCATCTAGTTGAATGTATGTTTTAGACTCTTATGATCTATATAAATTTTAAATGTTTTCCTATACAAGTAATGACGTTAGGCCTTCAAGGCATGGATAATCGCAGTAAGTTCCAAATCGTGAGTGGAATAATTCTTTTCATGAACTTTCAACTATCTGGATCTGTAAGTTATGACTTTCTTGTGTTGCATTAAAACACAACCCAACCCTTAGTAGGATACGTTACGGTATACTGTATATTCACCTGTTCCATTTGGTAGAGTCAACACTGGTGCAGTAGTCAGTCGTTCCTTTGAGTTATGTAAAACTTCTTTCATATTTCTTATTCCACTCGAACTTGAAATTTTTCTTTGTGAGTCATGTCAAATGGACTGCTATACTTGAGAACCATTCTACAAACATGCGGTAATACCATGTCATACCCAAGAAACTTCTAATTTCCTTGATCTAGGTCAATTATTTCCAACCCATCACTGACTCAATCTTCTCGAATTCACTGACACTCAATCTTTTGATACTATGTGTCTTAGGAAGGAAGTCTGCTCAACCCAAATTCACACTTACTCAACTTTGCATATAGCTTCTTTGCTCTGAGAACCTGTAAGACTAGAGTAAAATGTTGGACGTGTTATTCTTTGCTCTCAGAGTAAACTAGGATATCATCAATAAAAACTATGACAAACGGATCCAAGAATGACCTGAAAATCTTGTTCATCAAATCCATAAAGATTGCAGCCACATTAGTCAATCTGAATGACATAACAAGGAACTCATAATGCCCATATCGGGTCCTGAACGCTATCTTAGGGATGTCTTATGTTTTGATCTTCACCTGATGGTATCCTAAACATATGTCGATATTGAAGAAAATCTGAGCACCTGGTAACTATTAAAAAGATCATCAATCCTAGCAGGGACTTGTTCTTAATTGTGACTCTGTTCAGTTTTTTATAGTCTATGCACAATCTCAAAATCCCATCACTCTTCCATGCGAATGTAACTCTGGCACCCTAAGGGGATATGTTGTGTCGGATGAAACTATTATCCTGTAACTCTTTGATATATTTTTTCAGTTCTTCAATTTCAACACGACTCATTTGATATAGGACAACCGAGATAGGTTGGGTGCTAGGCTGAAAATCAATGATGAATTCTACTTCTCGATCTATTGGCAATCATAGTAGTCTATCAGGGAATATGTCTGAAAAAGGTTCAGACAACGAGGATATCTTAAATGCAAATCTCTTCTATGAGTTACCTAATGCGAAAAAAGAATGGTTAAATTAAAGGCATTCGATTAAATTCAATATACTACTACCATGCGCCCACAATATCTAAGATTTTATTAATTAATGAACGACTTTTCATTAATAATGTTG